CTGCCCTCTGCCAAAGTGGAGGCCAAGCTGGACCAGGTGACCGTAAAGCTGCCAGAGGTTCAGCTGCCCAAGGAAGAGCTGGTGGGCCAGTCTACTGGAGCTGACCTCAAGGGTCAGCTGCCCAAAGTGCAGATGCCCAGCCTGAAGATGCCCAAAGTGGACCTCAAGGGCCCTCAGGTGGACATGAAGGGCTCCAAGGCTGAAGCAGGCACCGCTGATCTAGAGGTAGCTCTGCCCAGCGTGGAGGTGGCCTTCCAGACCCCCAGTGCCAAGCTGGAAGGGGACCTAGCCCTCAAAGACCAGGATGTGTCCACCAAAGACAGCAAATTCAAAATGCCCAAGTTCAAGATGCCATCCTTTGGTGTGTCGTTGACCAGCAAGCCCTCAGAGGGTGAAGTGGAGGTGTCAGTGCCCAAGGTGCAGGGTGACGTGGACCTGCCCTCTGTCCACGGGGACCTGAAGACCCCTGAGGTCAGCATTCAGCTGCCCTCTGCTGAAATTGAGGCCAAGCTGGACCAGGTGGCTGTGACTCTGCCCGAGGGCCAGCTGCCTGAGGTAGAGCTGGCAGGCCAGCCCCCTGGAGCTGGACTCAGCGGCCACCTGCCCACGATGCAAATGCCCAGCCTGAAGATGCCCAAAGTGGCCCTTAAGGGCCCCCAGGTGGACATCAAGGGCCCCAAGGCTGAAGCAGGCACCACCCCTGACCTACAGGTGGACATGCAAGCCCCAGGTATCAAGCTGGACAGGGAGCTGAGCATGGAGGACAAGGACATGGCCGCCAAAGACAGCAAGCTCAAAATGACCAAGTTCAAGATGCCGTCCTTCGGTGTGTCGGTGCCCAGTAAGCCCTCAGAGGGTGAAGTGGAGGTGTCAGTGCCCAAGGTGCAGGGTGACGTGGACCTGCCCTCTGTCCACGGGGACCTGACGACCCCTGAGATCAGCGTTCAGCTGTCCTCTGCTGAAATTGAGGCCGAGCTGGACCAGGTGGCCATAGAGCTCCCTGAGGGCCAGCTGCCTGAGGGACAGCTATTGGGCCATATCGACAGAGCTGACCTCAAAGGTCACTTGCCCAAGGTGCACATGCCCAGCCTGAAGATGCCCAAAGTGGACTTCAAGGGCCCCAAGGCTGAAGCAGGCACCCCTGATCTAGAGGTAGCTCTTCCCAGCATGGAAATGGACATCCAGACCCCCAGTGCTAAGCTGGAAGGGGACCTGGCCCTCAGAGACATGGACATGTCCACCAAAGACAGTAAGCTCAAAATGCCCAAGTTCAAGATGCCGTCCTTTGGTTTGTCGGCATCCAGCAAGCCTTCACGGGCCGCGGTGGAGGTGTCAGTGCCCAAGGTGCAGGGTGACGTGGACCTGCCCTCTGTCCACGGGGACCTGAAGACCCCTGAGGTCAGCGTTCAGCTGTCCTCTGCTGAAATTGAGGCCGAGCTGGACCAGGTGGCCATAGAGCTCCCTGAGGGCCAGCTGCCTGAGGGAGAGCTGGCAGGCCAGAGTACTGGAGCTGGACTCAAGAGCCACCTGCCCACGGTGCAGATGCCCAGCCTGAAGATGCCCAAAGTGTCCCTCAAGGGTACCCAGGTGGACATCAAGGGCTCCAAGCTGGACATCAAGGGCCCCAAGGCTGAAGCAGGCACCCCCGATCTAGAGGTAGCTCTGCCCAGCATGGAAATGGACAGCCAGACCTCCAGTGCCAAGCTGGAAGGGGACCTGGTCCTCCAAGACAAGGACATGTCCACCAAAGTCAGCAAGCTCAAAATGCCCAAGTTCAAGATGCCATCCTTTGGTTTGTCGGCACCCAGCAAGCCTTCACGGGCCGCGGTGGAGGTGTCAGTGCCCAAGGTGCAGGGTGACGTGGACCTGCTCTCTGTCCATGGGGACCTGAAGACCCCTGAGGTCAGCATTCAGCTGTCCTCTGCTGAAATTGAGGCCAAGCTGGACCAGGTGGCCGTGGAGCTCCCCGAGGGCCAGTTGCCAGCGGGAGATCTGGCTGCCCAGTCTGCCAGAGCTGACCTCAAAGGTCAGTTGCCCAAGGCTCAGATGCCCATCCTGAAGATGCCCAAAGTGGACCTCAAGGGCCCCCAAGTTGATATCAAGGGCCCCAAGCTGGATGTGAAGGGCTCCCAGGCTGAGGTGGCATCCCCCGTTCTGGAGGTGTCTCTGCCCCGCATGGAAGTGGACATTGAGGTCCCCGATTCTAAGCTGGAGGGGGACCTCGTCCTGGGGGACAAGGATGTGTCCACCAAAGACAGCAAGTTCCAAATGCCCATGTTCAAGAGGCCGTCCTTGGGTGTGTCCGCGCCCGGCAAGCCCCGGGCGGCTGCTCTGGCGGTGTCGGCACCCACCGTGCGGGGCTCAGCAGGCCTGACCTCCGTCCAGGGGGACCTGAGGACCCCTGCGGTGCTGCCCTCGGCCAAACAAGAATTCGAGGTCTGCCATGTGTTTGTCGGTCTTTCTGAGGACCATGGTCCTGATATTTCTGTTCCACCCTCTGGTGTTCGGATTTCTTTTCCTAAATTCCATAAACCCAAGTTCACTGTCCGCAGCCCCGCTGTGCCGAGTCACCACGCGGGTCCTCAAGCCGCGGAGCCCTCGGCTTCTCCTCCTGGTTCTGAACCGTGGCGTTGCCCCTGCGATGCGTCCCTGGCGTCCGGCCCACATTCCTGCCCGGGGGCAGACGCCGCTCAGCAGCCGGCTGGTTCCTCCGGGGTCACTACAGATGAAGTTCCTGTAGAGCCTGGCAAAAGCAGTCCTTTCAAATTACCCCGCTTCATACTGCCATCTTTCCATCAGTCTCCAAAGAAAGTGCCGGAGTGGCCTGGGTCCCTGGGGAGTTCTGCGGGGGACCCCGCCACGCCCGTCCCCTTGGAGTCAGACGAGGCGTTGCCTCCGCCTTGTGCTCAGCTGTCCCAGGACGAAGCAAATTCCGGCGTTCCTTCAGACAAGGGTGGGGAGAAGGGCAGGACCAAGAAGCCGGGGTTCGCCTTGTGCAGAGTGGCTCTTCCGAAGCTGAAGGCCTCTAAGGGGCCAGCCAGCGCGCCGCAGGGAGACGCCGGGCCCGCTCTTCCAAGGGGCCCGGCCGCAGGACACTCGGAAGCCTCAGGGGGTGACCGTGCCCGGGGGGTTGCTTTGGGTGACGGCACCAAAGAGGGTCTCTCGGAAGGAGATGGTGTGAGCCTCCAGATGGCACCCGACCACACCCCCAGCTTGGGCTTTGCCAAACCCAGTCTCAGAGCTTCCACCGCCAAGATGGAAAGGAAGCCTTGTGACGCTGACCAGCCCCTTCCTGAAGGTCACTCAGCTGTCACCGTTGACCGCAAACCGCCTGAGCCTGGGGACCTGTCAGCCAGCCCGTCTTGTGTGGAGGGGACTGTCCTCCCACCCGAAGACCCTGTCCAGTCTCCCTGCAGACAGCCCGAGGCCAGCCCTGCCGGGAGGCCACCACGCGAGGCGCCCACCGATGCGCACCAGCGCCGGCTCAAAATGCCCAAGCTCCGACTTCCTGGCTTCCGACGCTCCTCATCCCAGGAGCAGGGCGGGGCCGCAGGACAGGATGCAGCCCAGCTGCCCCTGCCTGCCCCTGACTCGCACACGCCGCCGCCAGTTCTCGGGCCAAACGTGGAGGCGGCGGTGTCCCCTGAGCCCCTGGAGGCGAGGCTGCCTGTGACCGCTCCGCCCAGCCCCCCGCACGCCGCGCTCACACCTGTCCAAAGCCAGGACCACCCCGGCCTGCAGCCGCCCCTGCCCACAGCAGCCGTGGGACAGAGCGATGTGCCCCGCTCCGAGGCCCCCACCGGGCTGGCAGCAGCCTCCCTCCCCCCGCAGCCGCCCCGCACGGGAGACTCAGAACCCAAGGCTCCCGAAGGAGAGGTCGCCCAGAGGCCTCCGCCCGGGCCCAAAGGCCCCGGCTCCCTCATCCCCGAAGGGCCTGTGAAGCTGACGGCTTCCTGCACAGACGCACCGGCACAGGTCTCCGTGGTGGGCGTGGACCGGCTCTGGGAGGATTCCGTGCTGACCGTGAGCTTCCCGAAGCTAAAGGTGCCCAGGTTCTCGTGGCCGGCCCCCAGCTCTGAGGCGGTGTTCTTCCCAGTGGTGAGGGACGACACGGAGTCCGGTGCCTGGGCCGCTGCCGACCGGGACCAGCCTGGGCTGTGGGGGGCCAGGCGCCTGCGGGCCGACGCCGAGGACACCGGGGAGCCTCCTGCACCCCTCTCCTCAGAGGCACCCCCAATTTCTAAAGTCAAGGTGCGTATCCAGGGGGCTCCGGGCCAGAGCCAAGAGGTCATTGTACGCAGCAGGGTGACACGAGAGCATGCTGGTGTTGCCACCGCTGCGGGATTTTCCACGCAGATCGTGCGGGAATCAGAGATCCCGGCGTCCGTGACGCAGGTTCCTTCCTACGGATTTTCCTTGCTGAAGGTGAAAGGTGCAGAGCCCTGCATGCAGGCCAGCATCCACACGGGGGCTCTGGGCTCGGGGGCCCCGGGGGGCTTGGGGGGGGCTCCCGCTTCAGCCACCCCAGGCATGGACCCCTGGCCTGCAGAGCCCCAGCCCGATGCCACAGAGCCGTTTGAGATGGTGTCTGCCAGCGTCGCCCTGTCCGGGCTGCCCGAGGAGCCCATGGGCACCCAGTCTGCAGACCACGGCTCCGACGAGGAGCCTGCAGAAATCCTGGAGTTTCCCGAGGACAGCTGGGAGGAGGCAGCGACCCCGCTGGCAGGCCAAGACTGGGCTCCGGAAGAGAAGCCAGCCAGCAGGAAGTCTTCTGGTCTGCTGTGGTCTTGGCTTCCGAGCATCGGGTTTTCTTCCACGGATGAGACTGGTGCCGAGCCCAGGGATGACACCCCAAGATCTACCCCCATCCAGACGCAGCCCGGGGCCCGGACCGAGGCGGAGCTGCCCAAGAAGCCGGAGAAGCCAGGCTGGCTCCATCTGCCGAAGTTGGGGTTCTCCTCGCCCACCAGGAAGAGCAAGAGCACCGAGGCCAGGGCAGAGCTGGCGGAGCAAAGGCACCAAGAGGACACCACCACGTTTTTTGATGCTCGAGACAGCTTCTCTCAGGAGGAGGAGGAGGAGGAGAGAGGGGGTCAGGGGGCAGGGGCTGCAGGTACCAGGCAATTGGTGGTAAGAGAAGAGCAGGACAGAAATGCTGGCGAGGAGTCTGGGCCCGTGGCCAAGTGAGGGGCAGCTGTGGGCAGGAGCCAGTGGGCAGGAGCCAGGCACCCGCACAGAGCCCAGACCTGAGCGCACAGCAGGAATGAATCACGGGTCACCACACCCAGCCCGCCTAACTGGGATGGAATTCGTGTCCCTTCCCACAACGCTTTGGAAGCAGAGAGTGCAGAGCGCATGCGCATGCGGGCTCAGGGCCACGGCTGGCCGCAGGTCTGGGGGCGGCCCGGCCCCGGCTCTCGGCCTGGCTCTGGGACTCGCTGGAAGAGGCCGGTCCTGTGCAGCCTCCACCCATGGCTGCTCTTTCCTCCCGTGGATTTTCTTCTCTCAGGCCGAGTATGGCATTGTCCAGAAAATCCCTCCCTCCCCCGTCCACCTCCCTTCTTTCCCTCCTTTCCTGACTTGTGAATGGCTACCCCGTATGGGACCACAGGCACGTCTGCTGTGAGACAGTGCAGCCGGTCCACGGCCCTGTCCAGCCGCACACAGCCCCGCCTGCTCCCCCAGCCCTCGCTGTGCAC